GATTTTAATTTTGAACAAATTAGTGAATGATTAGATTCAAATATGATTTAAAAAAATAGGTAATATTGGCTGGTGTAATACTGCGGTATATTAATTGTCACTTTTGTAATAGTGACCAATTTGATTTTCAATAAAATATGTCAAATGTTTTCATTTTAATGTTAATGAAAATGTACATACATAGATAATAACTATGTATTTGAATCAGATTCCTTTTTTTCCTACAGTATTTTCTTCGTAAATATTTGTTTACAAGATATATAATAACAAGGACAACATCCATTAAAAAATTCTATTGGAAAAAAAAAGAGGAGAAAACTCTGGTTAGACTCTAACATAGGAGTCAACCTCTAAAACCTCCTAATAGGGAGATCTCCCTCCTTCCACATTTCCAATGAGGAGAAAATGTGTGAAACACGACTGAATCTGCTTTGCTCAATAATAACTCCAAAAAGCATTCATTTGACTCGGACACACCTGTTATGATCATTATACACACCCTACAGTAACTAGGAGATCATTTGAATCAGACACACCTGTTATGATCATTATACACACATCATGCAGTAACTAGGAGATCATTTGATTCAGACACACCTGTTATGATCATTATACACACCCTACAGTAACTAGGAGATCATTTGATTCAGACACACCTGTTATGATCATTATACACACCCTACAGTAACTAGGAGATCATTTGATTCAGACACACCTGTTATGATCATTATACACACCCTACAGTAACTAGGAGATCATTTGATTCAGACACACCTGTTATGATCATTATACACACCCTACAGTAACTAGGAGATCATTTGATTCAGACACACCTGTTATGATCATTATACACACCCTACAGTAACTAGGAGATCATTTGATTCAGACACACCTGTTATGATCATTATACACACCCTACAGTAACTAGGAGATCATTTGATTCAGACACACCTGTTATGATCATTATACACACCCTACAGTAACTAGGAGATCATTTGATTCAGACACACCTGTTATGATCATTATACACACCCTACAGTAACTAGGAGATCATTTGATTCAGACACACCTGTTATGATCATTATACACACCCTACAGTAACTAGGAGATCATTTGATTCAGACACACCTGTTATGATCATTATACACACCCTACAGTAACTAGGAGATCATTTGATTCAGACACACCTGTTATGATCATTATACACACCCTACAGTAACTAGGAGATCATTTGATTCAGACACACCTGTTATGATCATTATACACACCCTACAGTAACTAGGAGATCATTTGATTCAGACACACCTGTTATGATCATTATACACACCCTACAGTAACTAGGAGATCATTTGATTCAGACACACCTGTTATGATCATTATACACACCCTACAGTAACTAGGAGATCATTTGATTCAGACACACCTGTTATGATCATTATACACACCCTACAGTAACTAGGAGATCATTTGATTCAGACACACCTGTTATGGTCATTATACACATCATGCAGTAATTTGATCATTTGACCACAGGATGTAGATTTTGAGTTTGTGTGAGTTTGGACTTAACTCGTTTGCCCCTGAAGACGACATTTGATCTCTTCCAATTCAAAGGTTGGAAAAGTTCATTAAGAAATTTCAAGGGTGAGAGAGATTGGTAAATTTTGATCAAAATGAGGGAATCTCTCTCCTAATGAGGGATGGTTGACAGCTTTGTTCTACGATACACTGTTATGACTCATGGATTAGTCTCCGTAAGAGGCGACTAAATTTGGGACCTTATCTCTTCTCTCCTTTCTAAATAACTTTCTTCTTCCTAATGTCTCCCTTGACAATGCCTCACTTTTGGCCATTTGTTGAGCGTTCGCCCCTGTGAGGAAGGCTTTGGGTTCTGTCCCCTGGCCGAGACATACCAAAGTCTTTAAAAATGGTAGTTTCTACTCCTGCTTAACGCTCAGCAAATTAGGAGTGGGACGACTGGTTCGCCCGTTGTCAGTATAATGTGACCGGGTGGGGCGTCCTGCTGGGTGTCTTCGGCAGTATGTTTCAGTGAGGTAGCACTATAAAGTCGGCATCAGTTCCGCGCTATCACAAGGAGATAAACACGAACATATCGCAGCCTCCCAAAATACACACACATACACTACGCGCATGCATCTTGCACACAGGGGAGGCCGTCCTTAAATGACCTTGGCTGTTAATAGGACGTTAAACAGAATCAAACAAACAAACAAACAAACCCTTCTATATTAAAGACGTAGTAACGTACAAAATAGCTGGCGGTACAACTTTCTCTACGTGTGCAGTATCGTATCGTATCGCTATCGCACAAACCATGTCTTAATAGGTCTACAACAATGAGTGAATTTCTTTCACTGTAAATTTTCATCCATATTTATTCCAGATATTTAACTCTTTTCATAAAAGATTAGCAGTAGCATCGAAACAGGTACACCACTGTGTCCGATATCACAAGGGACAAGTTACAAATCTCTGTTGTTGACGATGGATTTACAACTATTCAGCTTTATAGCCTAGCCGATGTATCGCCTGAAGTCGGAGTGGACAATTCTTTGTAGATGCTATGTTTGTCAAGATAAACATTAAATGTTCAAATGAACATATTCAACTGTAGCTTCACTATGACAAGTAATAATACCATTGATCCGACGAAGATCCATAACTAGTTTCTTACACATGATTTCAACACAAGGTCGAATAAGTCAAAATCGGGTCAAGTTGAATTAATGGTATCATACAGAGCTGGTCAGGGTAGATATAAGTAACATAAATGGTGACAGTAAATATACACTTAATTCATAAAGGTGTGATTTATTGTCCTGGGTTATTGTTAGTGATATTAAGAGATATAGCATCAGATGTTCCACTCTTTGTGGAGCTTAATACATATACTTTATACAGATGCGACAATAAATGGAACAGCAAGGAGCTTAAATAAAGCAGGTTTATAAAGAAAATATCAAACTTTTATCTTATAATCTTGTAATCTCCCTGTGATTTCTGAAGAAAAATGTACTAATCAATATTTCTATTATCTCCTGTAGAAAGGCTACTCATCAATGTTTTTATTCTTTCCTGCACAATCCCACCCTTCGATTCCACAAACAGGATATCTCATCAGTTTAGAATTTTCTATTCTCTCCTGCACACTCCTACCCTGTGATTCTGTAGACAAGATTTCTCATCAGTTTAACATTTCTCTTCTGTTCTGCACTCTCCCCTCCTGTGATACAAGGGACACCAGGTCCTTAGGAACATCAGAAGGGTTAGCTATATCAACCATTTTTTTATCCTACCATAAAACATATGCCCACAGAAACACTGATATAAAATTAAACTCAGATTCTACCTCAACATGAGGATACATTTTCTAAATTGGACAACTTCTTTATCAGATGGCTGTCATCACTAAAGGGAGGTAACTCCCTGATTAAACAATGTACAGTCCATCAGGTTGGACTTAAGAGACAGATTCAGCTGTCCAATTGATAATTCTACAGATAAACCTAATTAAAGATATTGTAAGATCATTCTTGCTTCTTTCTGTATCACGGTTTTATTGACTGTAACATTCTTGATCCAGGTTTTGATAGCCGTTCAAACCTTTTTTTGAAGATAATTGACTATAGGACGGGATTAGATCACTTATCCTGTTCTGTTAAGTCTGACAGGATTATTGTTGCCCCAACTATATTCCTACCTATCAGTCTTTGTTTGTTTCTATTTTGTTTCTGTATGGTTTTAATTTTGTGGGTCATCTTAAAGTGAGTAAAATCATTATTTTTTGGAAAAAATCAAAACTTGTCCTGCAATGCATCTGCTGGACCAGCATTCTGACCCTGGATGTAGAATCGCTATTATCTGACACTATAACCAACTGACCTATACATAACCTGGTCAACGCAAATGTTTTGGCCAAATTGCTCAACAGTTGTATATTCCAAAACCAAACTAAGGGGAGGCTACTGTTGTACGGAAAAACTTCTAGAGTTCTCTAGTAGTTCTTTGTCTGTATTGGAGCATGGAGCCTTAAATGAAAAAGAAAATGTTACTGTCATTTTCATCGCACAGTGAAACTAAGATTTGGGAGGCTGAGTAATGTTTTGTTGTAAAGTGCTTCAAGAGATTAGATACGGTGGTGAAAGATTGTACGAAAAGTACATTTACCGTTAAACTCTGGCATTACCTGGTACTGTTAATCTGTCGGAGTTCGGTAAAACATTACCGTAGATGTCATTAAAACAATAGTCTACTGGGAGTACAAATGTTATTATGCTGATGATAAGCTCAGAGTCTGTGGGATGATGATAAGATTAGCAATGGAAAGATTTATTTTCCTCGAAGATTGAGTGCAACCCACCTGTAATGTTTAAAAAAAGTTTGAAGTCTTGTTCTTGAAATTAAAATGGCCTTGATATTCATTGAACAAAAATGTTTGGTTGAATTTCACATTTTTGCAGGATCATAAACTATAAATATAAAAAAAAAGGATTGACAGGTTGTTCACTTCGGGATGAACAAATTCTGGATTGGTAGCTAGTCTTTAAGATATGTTACACAAAATGTGTATGGGTCACCTGAATGCTTTACCACAAGTTTCTTGGGGTACTCCGGTTTCTTTCCAATATGAACACCCGTTGATCTCTTCCATCTCAGCTTAAACCAGAGTGATTATAATAAGTTAAATAAACTTCGTTTCATAATTGTTGGAATATAAGGTTAAAAAGATGGCCTTAGAGTATGGTTATGATCGTATTGACCTATACTTTCAAAGTTGTGTGTATAGATCCAATATGTAAGAAAATTGAAATGACTTGATTCTTCTAGAGAACAATTAGGTCATAATATTTATGAAATGTGATCATATAGCTTGCTGGTGTGGAGGTTATCAATTGACCCACTCTTAATTCTACTCCATGCATTTTTGTTACCATAATTAGTAAATACCTGTACTTAACACAATTTGTTTTGTTTTACAGACAGGAGTATTACAATTACCAGATGAAGATTATGTTATTGAGCCCATGGCTGAACATCTCTATATAAAAAACACATCTACCTCTCCCCACCATCGTCATGGGCACCATCATCACCATGGATACGGGCAGCCACATGTCCTTTATAAAAAGTCAGCTCTCCAAGGACATGAACCTATATACTACGAGGCTCAAAAACGTAAGTGATCCAGGGTTTGTCGATGTCATCGTCTTTAGCTGTGTAAAGGGAGACCACTCTCGCTTATACAATTAATAATGTGACTTTCTGCACTTTTGAGTTTTCGAGAGAGAAAAAGTAGTCAGTGATACGAGAGACCCTGTATAAGTAATATTGACCCACATTTACTTTATTCATCCAAATTAATCAGCCATAAAAGCAATCTCTATAATATGTAAGACCATTTTGCATACTTAAGGATCTTCGTACCACTGCCAAAACCTGTAACTAAGTATTGGGAGACTGTTTTTCCCGGCATGACTATAGCTTTGATAAATCATTCTGAAGAAAAAACATTCCTTGCGGGACTTTAATGAGAAATAAAGAGGAAAATAAGCCAAATATAATCAACAACAATGTTCTGAATGTAAAAACAAATGTGAGACTAGAACGGGATTGGAACCCTAGACTTCTGATAGATATACCATTGCTCTAACAGATTGAGCTACCTGGTCAACAGAAGTGTCCCGGCCCAATAGTGCTACAGTTACATATATCATAACAGAAGTTAAGGGGAGGTTACTGTATATAGGACAAGAGGCCATGCAGTTCTCTGGGCGTATATGACTGAAGTGCTTAAAACTGCTGAATCCTGTTGTCAGCTCCCGGAAACAAGAGACCTTGCTTCGATTCTGTTATACAATTTAAAAATGACATATTTTTTCAAAACGATTGAAATGTGTCTGTGAGACACGGATGCCCCGCTCCCTGTTTGGCCGTATACACCTCTCATGACCCAGATATACACACACAGTGTAGTGGATGCTATGAGCAATGTTACACACCTTTTAGTTAGTTACAAAAGTACTAATTAACTTTGAGTACATTTTCAAGAAAATATAACAACAATTGTATCAATCTTGCAATCGGGCATCACAATATTTTACCACAAATGCATAGCTATATCACTGATTTGATAACAAGCAAAACTCTGAATTCTAGATCCAAGGCTATAGTTATAATCTCTGGCCCAGAGACCTAAAAAAACACAACACATTTGGACAAGGATCCATAAACCAAAAGCCATTTGTGTAAATCTTTGTTTTTTCTGATAGATGACCAATATTTAAAGCCAACAAGAACGAAACGATCGTCTGATTCCAAGAATCTTCAGGAGAACTTGTCACATGATCAGCAACAACAGGAAAGTTTGTCACATGATCAACGACATCAAGAAAGATTGTCACGTGAACGACAACGTCAAGAAAGATTACTGCATCACGACCGACAACACCGTGAGAGGCTGTTATATGACAGACGTCGTCAGGAAATGTTGCTGCGCGCTCGACGCCAACAAGAAAGGTCGAGGGCAGCGAATGCTAGGCGTCAACAAGATAGTTTATCTAATACGAAACGACAGCAGGGGTCGTCATCTTCTGACCGGCGACGACAGGAGTTCTCGCGCACAAAAACCGTGGAAACACTCGTTGTCGTTGACCAACATGTGTATGTGAAACATGGCCGCCAGAATGTCACCACCTATGTCCTCAGTATGTTTAACATGGTGCGTATAATGAAGTTGAGGATTTGTAGAGTGTTTTAGGAAATATTTTGTGTCGATACTCAAGTGATCAGAGAATATTTGGTGGTCACTTTAACAAGAATTATTTAATATTATTGAAATCGATGAAGATATATTATGGGATGGATAGGATATATGAGGCATGTAGAAATATCTATTGAATTGCAGTAAGTATTCCCAATGAAAATTAAATGAAACACATTAAGTTTTTTCATTATTCAAGATTTTTTTTAACTTTTGCTAGGACAATTAGATTTTACTCCAAATAAAATATCTTTCTCTAAAGATGATCAGAATAAATCTGGAAACATGTTTTACCATTGATATTGAAAAGAAAACAGAGCGATTTAGCTTACATATATTTATAATATTAATTGAATTAAGAAAAAAAATACATTTATAAAAAAGGTGGCTTGTATAGAAAAACTGAACTCCAAATTTATTTCTTTTTCTTAAGAAGTTGAGGCCAGATTTTGATCAGTTGGTATTCAACAAAGAAGTTTGAAAATTCAGAGTTTAAATCTTTTTCTGGCCTGTAATATTTTTCTATTCAATTGAATAAACTTACTGTAAACATTCATTCTTTTGACCTTTTGACATTTTAAAGGTGTCCCAACTGTTTCTGGACGATAGCCTTGGATACAAAGTCAACATTGTACTGGTGGGACTCATTATCATGGATGGATCAGAGGTAAGACCTGGCAACTAACTTATTGTTCCACATAGATGTCAAAACCTTGACATCAAAAATAATACAGGTCAGGGTCATGAGAGAACTCTGCTAAATTAAGTAAGTGTATGCTTGATCCAGCCAGAACAAAAATAGAGGTCGTTTTCTGGAAAAATAATCTTTTCTGAACTTAAATTCATTCTGTATTTCTAATAAAATAATGTAAGTTTCCAAATGAATTGATGATCTGAAGAAATGAATTCCCAGGAAGCTCATGATTTATTTCCCATCCAATGTCAGAATAGTGTAGGAAGGGAGATAATCCTGAATTAATTGTCGGGTGTCTCCAGCATAGCAGGATAAATTCAAGCTAAAGTTTAACATAAAAGTTAATAGTATTTACTGTAACCTTTCTAACTGTAAATAAATTCAAGGACATATCAGGATCACAGTACCTGATATGCTTGCCTATTCCTTTATTCCACCTATTCTATTAAGGATATATCCTACCTTACCATGATAGACATAGGTCTAAGTTCTAAAAGAGTTCTACACCAAGACACTTGCAAAAGTATCTTTTATGAATACTTTTGATCATGTTTTAGCTGTAACTTAAACGTTATTGGTGATTTAATTTTTCTGTTAGTAAAATTAAAAAAATACATAATTATTAAAGTTAGTTTAACCAAACGTTAATTCTTAACTATCTTCTGTTTTTCTGTGGTCCATAGGATGTGTCTACTTTTAAATAAACAATTTGCAAAGTTACCTGTGCTTGGATATGTAAACCCTGTCAATTTGTATGAACACAACAACCTTATGTTACGTTAACTTTAATTTGATCAAATGACGGCATTAATGGTCTGACAGGAGAGAGTTGTAAAGTTTATTGTCACCTGTAATTGATAGCTACACTTTAGGGGCCCGCCCGATGTCCAAGACTGCTTTTACCATTTTGGCAATTCTCATTCATCTTTCAAATTTTCTTTTGCTGGTGGTGTTAATGGAATGTTCAGCAAATCTTAGTGTCTTCTTGTAATATAACCATATATTTTTATGCGTGAATTAATGCTTATAATATCATTGGGAGATCCTCCTTTATATTTTTGCTTGCGCAAGTGTTAATATTTGTGTGTTATTTTCATTATTAGCCCGGACTTACCATCAGTCACAATGCTGACAAAACACTCAATAGTTTCTGCCAATGGCAGGCTGTGATTGGTGGGAAGCGACATCGACAGCATGACCATGCCATACTCCTGACAGGACTGGACATCTGTGCTCTTCGAAACGCTCCCTGTAATACACTAGGTAAGAAATCAGGCCCAATCATTCTTTAAAATAAAAAAAACATATGCAAAATGTAATAATTGAAGCTGATCTGTGATATTTTTTATTTTTTTCTATAAAATTATTAGCAAGATACATAGATTTTAATTGCTGATGTCAAAAGAAAAAAAATAAGGGCAACAATCAAAAGTCCACAATGCATTTGGAATAACCAACTAAGATTTTTGAGGTCACAGTACATAGGTCATAGGTTAATGTTTTACATTTATCCAGGTCATACCATTCTGAACTATCAAACATCCAATGACCCTTTGTGTGTTTGGACATGACTTCTTATCTATTGTTCAGAACATTGTAGGTCATAGGTCAAAGGTCAATTTTATTTAACAATAATACAATGATAAAGACTTGTGTCAATGTTTCACACTAACTGTGTAATGCCTCTCCTTTTAGAAGCCTAGTTCTGAGTTCAAGGTCACAATAACAGGTCAAAGTTCAAATATGAATCTGTATAAGTTATATATATACACAGCTCTAAAATAAAATGTAAAAAAAATAAAGGCAACATTGTATAAGTATTAGGTTTGACAACTGCACGCTTCTTGAACTTCAGGATTTGCACCTGTGAAGGGGATGTGTAACAGGTTGAGGAGCTGTAGTGTTACGGAGGATTCCGGACTGGCAACAGCGTTCACCATCGCTCATGAAATCGGACACAAGTAAGTCCAGAGTTCCCTCCATTTAATATATATTACTGTAGTAAAACATTGCTATGACAAACTGCAGGTGGAATGTTTTCACTGTAGGAACCTACCATTATTTTGCATATATGTTATCCAATGTATATTAGTTTTAGGTTCTGTAAATTTTTCTTGATGCAAGGTAAAAATGGAGGCATCTGTGAATCCCCGTGAAATAATGAAAAATCAGAACTCCTTGGAACTTGTTTCTTTTTAACCAAAATGTGAGATATTAGTCAGAAAATAACTATTTCCATTTCACCTACTTAACTTCTTTTATGAGGTCATATTCACCCCCAATACATAAAGATGTCATTTCTTGAGGAAGAATAATAAGTTAAAACAGATGATGTTATTTTTGCACCTGTTTAATGCTAATCTCTTTGTTGTAGTTTTGGGATGCTACACGACGGTACGGACAATATGTGTCGGCCGCACACTGGAACGATTATGTCTCCCACACTCAGCTCCAAGAGTGGCATATTTAAATGGTCCCAATGCAGTCGTAACTACCTCCATAGGTTCTTCAAGTAAGTTCCTACAAAATACACTGAAAAAATATGCATGTTCAATTCTATGCCATATGAAACAGATGTTTCAAATGAAATAAATATACTCATTGTTCAAGCAGATGTTTTTAGCTCACCTGGTCCAAAGTCAAGGCTAAATGAGATGAGACTTGGGTTTGAATACATGGAACATATTCTCGAAGGAAGTTCTGTATTAATTTGTCTTTCAGTTCAGTAAACTTTGAACAATGGGGCCTAGATGTTGTTAGCACACTTATTTGGAGGAATGAGCCAAATAAATATTTCATAACCTTAAGTATGTTTCTCAGGTGACAATAAAGTCAGGTGTCCTTAAAGTCAGGTGACAGTATAGCCAGCTGACAGAGAAGTCAGGTGTCAGTAAAATGTAATGTTGGTAAAACCAGGTGTCTGTAAAGTCAGGTGTCAATAAAGTCAGGTGACAGAAAACTTAGGTGTTGCTGTATGTGATATCGTTTAAATGTTGATTTTACCTCGTGTTGAAACATACATTACAGTACAATCCAGTCAAGTTGTTTAGTCGACGAACCACAGGCGGTGGCTGAGTTAAAGTTCCCGGATAAACTACCAGGAGAAATCTTCAACGCAGATACCCAGTGTCAGTGGCAATTCGGAAAGCATGCAAGTCTCTGCATCTTTGACTTTGGAAAGGTCTGTATGAAGAATGAGTTCATAAAAATAAAAATAAAATTGATGATACATTTCTTGTAACTTTGATGAAATTTTAAGCACTCAACAAATATCCATCACTCACACTAATACATTGTGTGCAGTCGCCAGTTCATAAACAATTTGGATTAAACTAAGTGTGCTGGTTTAGGTGGTTATAAAGGGATGGGGGTTTAAAAACATCCATCCTTATGTATTTTTACAGATACAGATATATGGAATTTATGTTACAAAAAAAGAAACGTTACAATGCTTCCAGATTATTTCATAAAGCACCTGGTACATTATATTGTTGCATATACAATACATACCCTTTTTATATGTGGCTAGCTTATTCAGTGTAGTCAATGATTTTTATGACAGATTAGTTATTTTGGTGAGAAGAAATATTGGGTTACCTCCCCTTACTCGTGCCAATGGCTTAGGTGATAGGTTTGTGTTCCTCACAACAGTATAGAAGTATGAAGAAACAATGTTATACCTATAGATTATTCTTTATCTCATTAATTTCTTTTTTTCCTATTTTTCCTAACTTAAGGCTGTTTTCCCAAGATATGTAAAAACCCTGTCAAAGTCATTATTCTGGTAGCTTAATTCATCAATGAACTGATTTTGAAGAAATGTTCTACATTAAGTATTACATGTGTGAATCACTGAAGGTGCTGCACTCAAGATCAAGGTCACTTGATATCATTTGAAAATGTGCTGTCATTGCTGTAATTAGAAGGACTTGATTATTCAACAAATTTGATAGAAACTTCTTATATATGTCAAGTTTGACAGTAATTCAGCTGTACAAGCATTTCAGAGTGCTATGCTCAAGATCAAAATCAATGTTACTATTTTTTTTTAATCTTATCATCAGAAATTAATGACTACCAAGTTGGTGTCAGCGCTGGTAGGGGAATGGATAAAGGGGTTTAAGGGTTAAAAGGATCCCACATTACCTTTTCAGAAAAATTCAGTGTTTTTACTTAGCAGGGTGTTTTTTTTATTAATAATTGATCAATTATTGAATATCTTAAAAATACATTCCAGGACTTATTGGGTCTTGAGCTAAATGTGTATACCGTGGTATATGAACAGTTTTGTATCTTCACCCTTGACAGACGTATTTGTGGTTGTAGAGGGAGATTTGCCAGAAGCTATGGTGTTACAAGGGCGGCATGATGTGTGAAACTAAGTTCCTCCCCGCAGCTGACGGCACCTCATGTGGCGCCGGTAAGGTGGGTACTGGTCTTACTGTGGACCTGCCGTCTAAAGAGACCAAAAAGATACCTATGTTTTTGTAACCGTTAAAGGGTTGTCTTCTGTGTAAAGCTGTCCTGATACTGCAGTTTTGAAAACAAAGTCATGTTTGGTTGACCATTATGATATCGTAGAACATATAACCGTCTTCAGGACAGACAACAACAGATGAGAGTTGCTCCATTTCAAAATATATTTTGCAAGAAGACAGAATCTTAAAAAACAGTTTTAAAAAAAAATCAAATATCTATCTATAATTAAACTTAAAAAGACCTGTTTCAGAAATTGCCCGTGAACTTGATTAGATTTATCTTGGCAATGTGAACACAAAACAACAATGTCGGCGATGAAAACTGACTTTCCCCTACTAACTTGGCAGTTATCTTCTCTTTGTTTTCAGTACAATTCATTTCTTTGGTAATTTGCAGTACATTGAACATGTTTGATGAAGATATGCCATGGTTGAATCTATTACAGGTCACCTAGCTAGGTTGATGAATTCAGTAAGTCTTAGACAGACAACACATGATCTGCTTTGCAGATAATGACCATATGAACACACCAAAATTAGCCTGATTCAATTCTTTAATGAACATGCAATATTGTGGTGATTGGTAAGTGATATGTTTTTGCCCTTCGGTCAGTTTAGTGATGTTGACCATTGGTCAGTTTAGTGTTGTTGAGCGTTGGTCAGTTAAGTGTTGTTGCTGTTTGTAGTGGTGTCGCCAGGGTAAGTGTGAGACGTATGGTGTACAAGGTCCACTTCCGGTAAATGGACAGTGGTCAGCCTGGTCCGAGTGGTCAGCTTGCTCCCGGACCTGTGGTGGAGGAGTGAAAAGTCGCAAGAGGCAGTGTAATGACCCATTGTAAGTTACTTTGTGACAAGTCATTTTCTTTGCTCTCTTTATCTAAATACAGCGAAACCTGCTTCAACGATCATCTGTTTATAAAGAATGCTCTTCCATTCAGACAATCCAACTAAAAAGTCCACCTTCTTTAAAGACTGCCTGTCATCAACTACCATATAAAACACCAAAAATGGTTTTTTTTCTCTGTTTTACCTGTGTATAAAGACAATTTGACTATGCAAAGACTATGGCCATCTGTCTAGAAAGATAACCTTCCCTTAAACATTGCCTGTAAGAACTACTTGTATAGAATATCAGAAATGGTGATTTCTTTATTACCTGTTTATAAAGATCACCTGTCTATAAAGATTATCTTTCTATTACTATAATCACTGACTGTAAAAACTACCATATAACGAAAGAATACCCAAAATAGTTGTTTCCATATATCCTGGTTATAAGGACCACCTGTCTATAAATGCTATCTAAAATACCCCTGTGGTGATTTCTACATAACGGCAACCTGTCTTTAAAAACACATGTCTATTAAGACCTTTTGTATTCTCTGTTTGACACCTAGTGGCAGTCTTTCTTGTCAGGTTGGCTGATTTTTGTCTACTAACATAAACCCCATATATCAGTCAAGCAATTTGAGGATCAAAATGAGATATATAAATTGAGTTTGATAGTTTGTAATAGGACTTAGATCAGATAAATGCATGGCCTGACCAGGATTAGAACCTGGGACCCTCCAAACTCTACCAATTGAGCTACCTTTTCGAGACAATCGACCAGGTCCAGTTCTGCTACAAGTTTATGATTTATCTTTGAATAGACTGCATCTAATATGCAATTTTAGTACTGTAAAGTGTTAAAAAACTTCAAGTTTTATGCCAATGAACATGAGAGGGAATTCTGACACAGTTAAAAATATAGTAAATTTGTAAGAAGCTTGTCAATACGGTGAAGACTGTAGAGTGGACAGATTTATAGTTTGTTGATTAATAGAATCTTCCCCTACCTTGAGGGTTTGCCAGAGAAATTAGCAACCCAAGGTAACCCAAGGCTCTGCCGAGGGTTAGACAACCAAAAAAATCACCCGAGGGTTGGAGATTTCTCTGTTATACCCTCAAGGTAGGGGATGATTATCTTACTCCCATCCTATAAGTTCAGTCATAACTCCACCGACAGTAGTCTTCGATGTTTGTAATCAAAAACACATGTGGGGTATGCATATCGTCATTCAGTTTTGATGATGTCACAATTACCGATGACGCATTTAAGTGACGTTACAATTGAACACTTGCTAATCAGCACGAAGCTATCTCCCCCTAGGGGGTGACAAGCTGATCTTTCCCGGCTAAAACGGGAGACACACCTGTGAAGGGTGGGAGAATAGCATATTCAAGTTTACTATATATAATGAGAAGCATCTTCAATCATTTTGACTGCAATGAATTGTGTTCCAGACCACAATATGGAGGGGAACCATGCAAGGGGAACGACAGCATGAGTAAGCTGTGTAACTTACAGGTAGGTGCTGAAAGGAATTTCTGATGTACTGAAATATACTCAACCGACTTTAAGGTGAAGTAGCCTACAGTTCCATACATAAAGGACTTTTATATGAACTAAACATACTATATGATCTCTAAGGTGAAGTAAATATACTAGTTAGCATCTAAGGTGAAGTAACATATAGGGAAATAAAGGACTTTTAGGTGAATTGACCTACAGTTATGTTATATCCAATTAATTAGTCTGAGAATACACTTAAGTGGAATGGACTGTACCTTGAAGAAGAATTGAATATTCAAAGGTACCTATTACTAGACTTTTTTTAGATTCAATGGGTTGGGTCTTATTCTGATGTACTATTTTCTGTTTTGGTAGGAAATTATACTTTCCATTTAATGGAGAAATAAAAGTTGATTGTAAAAAAGTTTGTGAAGCTAAAGCCACACACTTCTAAATCACTAATAGTTAAGTAAATGAATATGTACAAATAGTTTAGTGAAGCCTGGAGAGGAGATTTGAGATGCCTACACTGACGAAGGGGTTCAACGTTAACTTAAACTTAAATAATTTTGTTGTTGTTGACTAGAGCTGTGGAGAGAACAGTGCTGACTTCCGAGGTGTCCAGTGTAAGGGGTACGATGACAAAGCATTCCGTGGGTGGCATTATAAATGGAAACCATACAAACGCATCTTTGATGGTGAGTCAAGCAAGAGATTAGGTAAAGGGAGGTAACTGATGAAAAAAAAACTATTCAGAGGAGAATAGAGGGAACTGTTATAAAGATGTATCAAATTTTGAAAAAGTATTGTAAAAATAATTCAATAATACTAAAATTCTAATAAGTTGATTTTTTTAAAAATTATGACCTGGGTCTTTTCATGAAATAATTAGGAATACTGTCGTGTCCTTTATAATGATATATACTAATATAAATACTAGTTTACAAAATCTCTCTTTTTTTTAAGACATTTGTGCTATTAGAAAATTTTGTGTTGTAGTCCAGGATCAGTGTAAGCTGTACTGTCAGGCCAACGGATACAACTTCTTCTACGCCCTGGCTAAACAGGTGGTGGACGGCACGCGTTGTAACGACTACTCCAACGACATATGTGTCCAGGGCCAGTGTCGCGTAAGTCAAGTGTACACTAGGAACCTTGACTTGAAATAAATCTAAGGGAAAAAAAGGAAAAAATAATAAGGATATAGAGATGCTGCTTTAAAACAATTTCTTTAGAATAGTTTGACAGATTTTCAATACACTGGGTATGAAGCATTTCTTAGATTAACCTACCAAAAGTTTTATCTTTAGATTTCACTGAAAATTTCATCTACACCCCACAGACAGATAACTAAATACTAATTTATTTTAATTATGTATTGTTATTTAAAAAGCTGTTTCATATTTATGGAAACTCCTTAAATGTCTATTTATGCTTATTAATTTCAGTCACATGGAATTTAATGATATAGATTTAACAACCATCTAAACGCTTGTTTCATTATAGATGTGTATATATAAGATATCTGGTATTGTAGTCCGTAGGATGCGACCTTGTGATTGGTTCCCCAGCCAAGAAAGACATATGTGGAGTGTGCATGGGAGATAACTCTACATGTAATGTGTTTGAGGGCATCTATGAAAGTCAACCAGAAAGAAATCGTAAGAAAGCTACAAAGTTGTTAAATATACAAGTTTATTTACACAGAAAATTGATAACGAATTGAAACATTTCATGGATAAGATATATATCTAAATATGAATGAGATATAGTAAATTTCATAAATGGGGATAATTAAATGAGAAATCACCATAATAGCCTCCCTATTCTCTTTATCTGTAAAGTTAATTACTGCATTTAACCAATGTGATATCAGATTGTACCGTGAAATATACACGTGATATAGACTTTTAAACAGAAAATTAAAGACATGTTGTTTCCTGTTATGTCATACTATTTGATATCCAAGTGTGAATTTAAATAGTGAGACTGCACTCATATCTATGTAAAATTTTCTTGGCTATTTACTCTGGAATAATTTTATCCAAACTGAACTGGCCTGACAAAGTGACCATTAAATATCCTTATTGAAAAATTGAACTTCAATTGGAACGAGATGTAAATTCTTAAACTTTTAATTCAAATACCAATCAATTCTGAAGTGAATCCGTTTGAAATTTCACATTCTCAACCATGCATGAATCCATTGAAAGTGATCGTTTCTGCTTTAATGTTTTATGACCTTGAAAATAACTTTCCAAAGGAAATTCAGGCTGATTAAGTGCTATGTGACAATTTGGGTTTTATTTTACAGGATACTTCCCCATCGTAGTCATCCCCAAGGGAGCACGTAGCATCGTTCTACGCGAGACATCATTATCCACAAACTACCTTGCTCTCCGTAATATCTTCGGTAAATACTACCTAAATGGGGACTGGCACTTGAGCACAGAGGGGTCCTACATGGTTGGAGGGGCCAGATTTATTTACAAACGAAGCTATCGAGAGCCGGAGAGACTGGAATCTGGTGGACCACTCTCTGAGGACATTGTCCTGGAGGTAAAAGTCCACAATTTTTGGCAGATTTGCTAAGATGGTCAATTTCACAGGATCTTGATTTCGCAGATTTTTGGTCTATACTGACCATGGCACATAGTGCTACCAGATTCCTTATAACTTTTTGGTGGCTTGTATTTTTTACAGGTAAACTATTACCACAGAAATCAGGAACATATTTTCTTAAAAGGGGATGTTTGTTCACGCTAGCAGATGTCATGACTAAGATATAGTATCTATACAACAGTGGTATGTGGAAAAGCATACTCTGTCATAAGCAAATCATGTTACATTTATGAACAAATATTATGTGGATAACAACACCATTCTAAGCGTAAAAGAGCATATGGAGAAGTCAATGACAAGAAGGTTGTTTTTAAAAATATCTTTCAACATGATTTTAATTTAGTTGTTATATTTTCAATACTGTATCAGCAATGTGTGGTATCGACAAAAGAACTCGTATGTCATTACAGCTGCTGTCACAAGGCGTGAATCCTGGGATATCGTACCAATACGCCATGCCCAAGGTTTTGCCCACGGTGTTTGCAGTTCCCCACAATCACACCTGGAGCGTGAAGCTGACACATTGTAGCGAGCTGTGTGCAGGTGGTGTCCAGACGTCCACTGCTCACTGTTATCGTGAGGACGGGGAAGAGGTCAATCCTCGTCTCTGTGACCCAAAGTCAAGGCCACACACAGGGGTGTCTTCCTGTAATGTCAAACCATGTACCCCAAGGTATGTTTACCACAGAATTTCTCTTACCATGTACCCAGGGGTATGTGTACCTGTAACATTCTTATCAAAGTAACAAGAGAATTGCAATAAGCATAAACGAAAAAAATAGTGTTACCATGTAACTCTGGGTATAGGTGTTTAATCAATGTGTGTGTAATTTTGATAACCATGTACAACAATAACGATGGTATTACTGTAAATAAGCACCCCCATATATGTAACCCTGGTATTACTTTACCATGAACCCCTAGGCCATTAAGCCATAGAACTACTGTAACTATATATATTCACTCTTGTGTATGTTACACCAAGGAATTGGTGTAACCATGTACTCCTAGGTATGTAATCATTTAATTACTGTATCAATGCACACCTAGGTATGTAACCATGGAATTACTGTATCAATGTACTCCTAGGTATGTAACCATGGAATTACTGTATCAGTGCAATCCTAGGAAGGTAACCATGGAATTACTGTATCAATGCACTCCTAGGTAGGTAACCATGGAATTACTGTAACCATGTACTTCTAGCTAGGCATGTAACCATGGAATTACTGTAACCATGTACTCCTAGGTATGAAGCCATGGAATTACTGTAACCATGTACTCCTAGGTATGTAATCATGGAACTACTGTAACCATGTACTCCTAGGTATGTAACCATGAAATTACTATAACCATGTACTCCTAGGTATGTAACCATGGAATTACTGTAGCCATGTACTCCAAGGTATGTAATCACGGAACTACTAACCATGTACTCCTCGGTATGTAACCATGGAATTACTGTAACCATGTACTCCTAGGTATGAAGCCATGGAATTACTGTAACCATGTACTCCTAGGTATGTAAATATGGAATTACTGTAACCATGTACTCCTAGGTATGAAGCCATGGAATTACTGTAACCATGTACTCCTATGTATGTAACCATGGAATTACTGTAACCATATACTCCTAGGTATGTAACCATGGAATTATTGTAACCATGTACTCCTAGGTATGTAATCATGGAATATCATGGAATTACTGTAGCCATGCACTCCTAGGTATGTAACCATGGAACTACTTTAACGATGTACTCCTAGGTATGTAATCATGGAACTACTGTAACCATGTACTCCTAGGTATGTAATCATGGAACTAATGTAACCATGTACTGTAGCCATGTACTCCTAGGTATGTAATCATGGGATTACTGTAACCATGTACTCCTGGGTAGGTAATCATGGAATTGCTGTAGCCATGTACTCCTAGGTATGTAATCATGGGATTACTGTAACCATGTACTCCTGGGTAGGTAATCATGGAATTGCTGTAGCCATGTACTCCTAGATAGAACTACTGTAACTATATATATTCACTCTTGTGTATGTTACACCAAGGATTTGGTGTAACCATGTACTCCTAGGTATGTAAATATGGAATTACTGTAACCATGTACTCCTAGCTAGGTATCTAATCCCGGAATTTCTCTAACCATGTACTCCTGGGTATGTAATCATGGAATTACTGTAGCCATGTACTCCTAGGGATGTAATCATGGAATTACTGTAGCCATGTACTCCTAGGCATGTAATCATGGAATTACTGTAACCATGTACGCCTAGGTATATAACCATGGACTTACTTTAACCATGTACTCCTGGGTATGTAATCATGGAACTACTGTGACCATGTACTCCTGGGTATGCAATCATGGAATTACTGTAACCCTGTACTCCTAGGTATATAACCATGGACTTACTTTAACCATGTACTCCTTGGTATGTAATCATGGAACTAATGTAACCATGTACTGTAGCCATGTACTCCTAGGTATGTAACCATGGAATTACTGTATCAGTGCAATCCTAGGTAGGTAACCATGGAATTACTGTAACCATGTCCTCCTAGGTATGTAACCATGGAATTACTTTAACCATGTACTCCTAGGTATGTAATCATGGGATTACTGTAACCATGTACTCCTGGGTATGTAATAATGGAACTACTGTAACCATGTACTCCTGGGTATGTAATAATGGAACTACTGTAACCATGTACTCCTGGGTATGTAATAATGGAACTACTGTAACCATGTACTCCTGGGTATGTAATAATGGAACTACTGTAACCATGTACTCCTAGGTATGTAAATATGGAATTACTGTAACCATGTACTCCTGGGTTTGTAATCATGGAATTGCTGTAGCCATGTACTCCTAGGTATGTAACCATGAATTACTGTAACCATGTGCTCCTAGGTATGTAATCATGGAACTAATGTAACCATGTACTCCTAGGTATGTAAATATGGAATTACTGTAACCATGTACTCCTGGGCATGTAATCATGGAACTACTGTGACCATGTACTCCTGGGTATGCAATCATGGAATTACTGTAACCATGTACTCCTGGGTATGTAATCATGGAACTACTGTGACCATGTACTCCTAGGTATGCAATCATGGAATTACTGTAACCATGTACTCCTAGGTATATAACCATGGACTTACTTTAACCATGTACTCCTAGGTATGTAATCATGGAACTAATGTAACCATGTACTCCTAGGTATGTAACCATGGAATTGCTGTAGCCATGTACTCCTAGGTATNAATGGAACTACTGTAACCATGTACTCCTAGGTATGTAATCATGGAATTACTGTAACCATGTACTCCTGGGTATGTAATCATGGAACTACTGTGACCATGTACTCCTAGGCATGTAACCATGAAATTACTGTAACCATGTACTCCCGGGTATGTAATCATGGAACTAATGTAACCATGTACTCCTAGGTATGCAGTCATGTAATTACTGTAACCATGGACTCCTAGGTATGTAACCATGGAATTACTGTAACCATGTACTCCTAGCTAGGTATGTAATCATGGAATTACTGTAACCATGTACTCATAGGTATGTAATCATGGAACTAATGTAACCATGTACTCCTAGGTATGCAGTCATGTAATTACTGTAACCATGGACTCCTAGGTATGTAACCATGGAATTACTGTAACCAATAATGTACTCCTAGGTATGTAACCATGGAATTACTGTAGCCATGTCCTCCTAGGTATGTAATCATGGAATTACTGTAACCAATAATGTACTCCTAGGTATGTAACCATGGAATTACTGTAGCCATGTACTCCTAGGTATGTAACAATGGAATTACTGTAGCCATGTACTCCTAGGTATGTAACAATGGAATTACTGTAGCCATGTACTCCTAGGTATGTAACCATGGAATTACTGTAACCATGTACTTCTAGATAGGTATGTAACTATGGAATTACTGTAACCATGCACTCCTAGGTATGTAACCATGGAATTACTGTATCAATGCACTCCTAGGTATGTAACCATGGAATTACTGTAACCATGTACTCCTATGTATGTAATCATGGAATTACTGTAACCATGTACTCCTATCTAGGTATGTAATCATGGAATTACTGTAACCATGTACTCCTAGGTATGTAATCATGGAATTACTGTAACCATGTACTCATAGGTATGTAATCATGGAACTAATGTAACCATGTACTACTGGGTATGTAATCATGGAATTATTGTAACCATGTACTCCTAGGTATATAATCATGGAATTACTGTAACCATGTACTCCTAGCTAGGTATGTAATCATGGAATTACTGTATCAATGTACTCCTAGGTATGTAATCATGGAATTACTGTAACCATGTACTCCTAGGTTTGTAATCACGGAATTGCTGTAACCATGTACTCCTATAGGTATGTAACCATGGAATTGCTGTAACCATGTACTCCGAGGTATGTAATCATGGAATTACTGTAACCATGTACTCCTGGGTATGTAATCATGGAATTACTGTAACCATGTACTTCTGGATATGTAACCATGGGACTTCTGTAAATCTGTATCTATGTACTCCTATATATGTAATTATGGAATTACTGCTACCATTTTGCCAAATGTACATAGCCATAGAACAATTGTAATCATGTAATCATCTTGGAAATCCAAGGGTTCTGCATGGTCTTGATATAAATACGACTATATCATTCTCAACAACCTTGGAACATGTACGTCCTGACAAGATTGAAAGTATGTGGTTTAAGCTATTTAAGCAGTGAGTTTCGTTTATAAAAACCGACCAATTGCTATGCTACTACCTGTCTTTTGAAGATTACAGAGGAGCATGTGGTCACTTTTATCATTATGCTGCTATGCAATTATTTTGGTGAAGTTGAAACTTCAGAAGGTATGATCAACTTTGTCTTCTTGTATTATCCGCAACTGGTGCCATCAGTGTCGAGCCTTCAATTTCGTGATGACATATACATGTATATTGCATAGAAGATATCTGTATGGAGAATGGAAGCCTTGGATTTCAAAGATGTTTAGCTCTACAACGTAAATATGAAATTGATCATACTTATACCTGAGTATGTCTTTGTATGTTAAATGGAATATTGACTAAAATTCTTACAGAAATTTAGCTTGGAGATAAAATTATGTTAAAGAGTTTATTTACAGTTTACTTCTGCTTTTAGGTGGTTCACTGAGCCCTGGGGTGACTGTACAAAATCGTGTGGGGGAGGGAAACAGAAGCGCCGAGTGTTCTGTCGCCAGAAAATCTCACAGAAGGAGGACCGTAGAGTCAGTAAACGCCGCTGTGACAAAAATATCCGTCCTGCCAAGAAGATTGCTTGTAACACACAAGAATGTCCACCTGCTTGGCATATGAAAAAATGGTCTGAGGTAGGAGTTATCTACCTTTAATTGTGCACATAGATAATGATAACTGAAAAAATGGGTTTATGTTTTACTGTAGGTAGTAGAGTAGGCCTCAAGGGATAGTAGCTTTGGTAACTAATTGAGCTACCTTTGATAAATAGACCATTATGATTACAATATGTAAAAATCAGAAAAAAAACATAAGCATTAATAAATCGTATGTTCAACAAGATTTTTTTCAAAATATTTAGCATCAATGTTTTAATTTATACACAAACAATAAATATGTCTCAACGTACGAAGATCATAGCTTGATAAAGGGACCAGTTGGTCTTGAAACATTGCGACAAATTAAATAGTACATTGTTTGTATATAAAATGAATCTTTGATATTACATATTTCCAGACTGATGAAGAATCTTATTGAAGATTATATTAATACAGACAATCATAAACTTACTTTTCTTGTATTATGCTTTGATTTTGTCTTGGTAATGAATATTTTCAACCCCCGTTTGTTAAAGAGTATGTATTTACTCGTTTGGTGATAAATGCCTCTCCAGACGATATTATACAGTGGTATATAACTCATGTTTACAGGATACTGGTGTGATATGGTAGTAACTCATGTCTTCTTACTGTTATTTATTACAGTGCTCAACAACATGTGGTCCGGGCACGAAGACCCGAGAGGTGACATGCCGCAGTCGTACCAGTCGCGGCCCGATAGATCTCCCGACCACCATGTGTCAACACCAGCCGGCTGTTGCCACGACGAGGAAGTGTCAGGTGACCAAGTGTCCACCAATCATTACTTACCAATGGATTGTGTCATCCTGGGCAGAGGTGAGGGTCTTGCAATGTGTTAGATAATAGGTCAAGGTCACCTTTAGATCTAGATCGAGGATATGTGATAGAGAAAGGTCAAGTTTCTGTGTGATAGATAATAGGTCAAGGTCATGGAGGAAGTGTTATATGGGAAGGTCAAGTTCCTGTGTGATAACTTATAGGTCAAGGTCTAGAGGAAGTGTGATATTTATTTGCTTAATTGAAGAGTTGTCAATAAATGATCTTGAATTTTCTTAAAACAGATTTGATTGTTTGCATGAGGTGTAAAACGTACATAAGATATAAATACTGGCAATCAGTGTGTCGCTTATTTCTTTATTTGATGAATTAATGTAATAACATTTTTTTTGCAGTGTTCAACCACTTGTGGCTCTGGGGTTCGCACACGGCAACTCAAATGTGGCAAACAGAAAAACGGTCGTGGATGGAAGATGGAAAGCACCGCAAAATGTCGGGATGTCATTCCCCCGGACATTCCACTAAAAGAGGAGTGTCAGCTCCTAGCATGCCCTGTAGAGGAGCATCCATTTTGGTTCTCATCGCCATGGTCACAGTGCTCAGTGACATGTGGGGCCGGGATACAGACTCGCCTTGTCCACTGTATGGACAAACAGACACAGGGTTTAGCGTCTGGATGTCCAGCCAGCACCAAACCATTGTCCAGGCGGAGGTGTCAGACCACCACATGTCCAACACCAGGTAAGATGACCGGCCAATGTCGGACAAGTTATGGTCAGTTCCTGTCCACCCCTTTGTGATTTAAACACTCTTTTTTTCCCTATTCCTAAAAATTCATTCTGGCACCATATTGGCATCACATAGTTGCAAAAGTATGTTTCCATGACAATTATCATCAGTGAAGTGTGGTGCTGGCCCTTCACAAACATGAAATCATACAAACTTTCCAAAGATACTTTATTGAAATCTAATTTTACCACATGTACACCATTGTAGATCTTGTAATTGTATAAAATATAACAAAGTTTGGACAGATTTCCAGAAGTTATAACTCAATTGGCAATCAATTTAAATGAAAGTTCAGTATTGTTTACTTTCATGATATTGAGGTCGAGAGTAAGTCGAGCCAGGTAAACAGATACTGTAACAATTTCTGTGTCCATTTTAAAGGGGGCCATTATACACCAAACCATTGTACTATGTGTTCATTTATTTAAGCCAAAATCTTCTTCTGAAGACCTGTAATCATTAAAGCTTTGATGTTTCATATTTAGTGTTAATCCATAAAGAGACATAATTCAGGTTTATTCAAAGGTATACAAGGGCAACTATTTTTTTCCGAAATAGTTATTGTTTAATGTTAAATTTCTTAAAATGTTCTCCATTGGAAGAAGTTTTTGAATCCATTTGCTAATATAAACAGTTGTTCTATTAAGATATCTTTTCTTTTTATCTTCCAGATCCATTGTGTATAGACCAGTTTCAGTGGTGCCATCTAGTGCCAAAACATGATATATGTAACCATCATTTCTATGGGCGCAAGTGTTGTTTATCATGTAAAGCCAAATCATGACACAGTCGCCACGGAAACTAGACCAACTACATCTTAGAACGGGACTATTGTTGGCTTCAATACCTTGCTGAAAGCACCAGTATTTGGGAACATGAAACTGTTAAATCTCCATGAAAAGTTCAGGCATAGATGCAGCTGAAGCATCAAGAAGCTACCAAATACTCTTGAAGGATGCTTCAAAAGAGTGAGGATGATTGCGGCAACACCGGTGTTGATGTATACCAGGATTGTAGATAACATTTCTTATTATCATGGAATTAGTCACCTGTATGGTGCAAGGTCAAAGATCAAATTTACAAGATGTCTTAGTTGTGAATAATGACTGATCATGAACCTCATAAAAAGACACGGTCACGGTACCTTTTTCCCGAAAGATTTGAGAAAACCATAGCAAGGGAACCTTGATGTTGAAAACTACTGATGAAAACAGGTGGAATTGTCAGATGTCAAATATAGTCAGGGATCCACGAAAAGTCCTTTACAATACTGAACCAGATAGTAAACAACAGAGATTGGAGATGTCTTGGAAAAATTGTCATGTCTGATTGAAATCTCAAAACGCAGTCACAGGTGTTCACCAGTTTGAATTCATATTCTAGGATGGTCCGGACCAAACCTTAAGTAATCTAGTGCTACACCAATCCTTCATCATCAGTGCCATGTTTGACATAATGGTATACTTACCAAAGTGCCTCCGAATCATAAGGATATGCTCTTGTATAACTCAAGTGACGCCACATCTAGGTATAAAATAAATGCCACCAATTGAAGGGAAGTAATCTATAAATTCACAGGGTGGGGATAAGTTTAAAATGGAATATCCATGTTCTATATTCATTTATTGTCCCTTACTTGGAAATTGCATTTTTCCTTAAACCTTCCTAAACGGGAAATCCTTGGTCAGGAGAAAGATTTTGAGAACTTTTTTGTAGACTGCAGTTAAATGAACAAATATATATCAACTGTCAATACCCAAATTAGAAACTCAAAATTCTATTTGAAAATCAAACAAAAGGAACTGAGGAGACAGAAAAACTAAAGGAAAGACAACAACATGAGCTAGGAACACACCAAAACAAAAGGAAAGACAACATAAATGCTGAAAAAATAACTAGTCAAAACCATTGACATCATTAACCAAGGTATTTGTATAAAGATGGTGGTAAGAATATAGGGGCAAATGCACTAGGTATGGTATCAAATATGATATAGGTTGAAGGTTCAAGGCACAACCTATCATACTTGAGTTCACGATGGGAATATGTTTTGTATTTATATCAATTAATAGTGCACTGCCCAATGAGCCCGAGGATGCATGCGATGAGGAGATATCGGATCAAAACATTGTTTCAAGAGGTTATTTACCCGTGTGTGTGTGCATTAACATTATCTATGAAAAGAGTTACAAGTATACATGTAGGTATATATGTAAGAAGTGTCAGTGTGATCAGCTGTGAAGGAATTAAGCATTGTTCTAAAGATGTTATGTAAAGAAAGAATATCAACAAGTTAACGATAAGATAAGTGTTATTCCTGCATGGGCCAATTTTGTTTCTCATAACGTTTCCTTTTTGATGAATGAACTTTCACTTTATCTGATCTATTTGACTGTGGGGCTGAATGTGTGAGATACAGTTATGTAATTAAATTGGTCATGATGTTGTATTGATAATCGAATCAGGTTCAGGGGAGATAAATCCTCCTATCAAGCCTCGCTGTCAGTATAGATCTGCATGCTATTGTACTGTTATGGCCACAAATTGCTTAGAATTCATTTTTTATCACACTTTTACGATGCCTCTGTAGATAAAAGGGCATAATATAACTAAACAATACTCATTCTTTCAACAATCAGAAACCCCTTCCGAAAATATTATGCAGTCAAATGTTTTGGAAGGTTATCGGACAATAAGATGAAATACTCGTCTGTAGCCTTCATTTTATTCTGCCTCTCAGTCTTCAGTGATTCTGAATGAATGTAAATATTTCTTAAAGAAATTAACTGTGATTGTTAAATCTTTCGGGAGGAAAAATCAATGATGTATTTTTTATAAATCGATTATGAAATATTTCTCTGTATTGATTTAATTAAGCCTAATGGACACCGCGCCGATTGACCCTAAGTAATGATGGTTGACATTGTGCAGTGCTATTTACTTGACATAATAGTCACATTTGTGACCATATATCAATGATTTTGTCTTCAAATGGGATTTTTGTGTTTTTATTGGATGACTCTGCTGATGTTGCCCAATAACGTAGAATGCTAAAAGTCTCTTAAACTGCAGCATTATCATTTAATCTCAGATATTTGAATGTTAAATGAAGTAAGACAGATTAATTAGAATCAGATAATTGACATTGGTCACTAGAGGTATTGGTAATCAAACATTTCAGTTGAACAAGACTATTTATGTTGTTGTTGTATGAGAAAAGTGATTGCATATGTGCTAACTAACTCATTTACATGTTTTAATTATCTAGTAGTTATGTAGTTCTGAAAGCGTACATATTTAAGTGGTATTCTTAGTTTTGCCCTTATTTCGTTTGAAATCTTGTACGAAAGTATGATTGCTTTCATTGCAGTTTCAATATATACCTTTCACACTGCCTATATTGTGGTTGGCCAATAAACTCCATCACTAACCTTTTAATGCGTTGAAAGATTGATGCACTACAAGATCAGGGGTATTAAGGGTCATTTCTGGCCTCATCAAGGATTTAAAATTAATTGTTATATTCGTAATCTGGAATAAATGAAGTACGCAGATATGAAAATTCAAATTCATCAGACAATTGGTATAGAAGATATGGCATAACAAAGAGGGGTAGAAAACTTCATTTTTCATTGTAAAATGTTTGAATATCGTCTGTCCTGTGCTATTTCCTTTGAAAATTGGCCATTTGGAAGCAAATTAACGAAACCTTTAATTTTCGAAAGCCTCCACATTGGCCAAACAAATAAATATTTGATATACTTAGATATTGTCATACCAGTGTCCATTCATAAAAAGGATTTTTTGTTTGTCGCCTGATGAGTCTTTCATTTCTAGCTGTCAAAATACACCATATTTGGTTATTTCTGCATAGCAATGCAAGTTTATTGCTATGCTAGGCCATTTACGCAAGCGCATTGTATGATGTTTCAAAAAGAAATTGGCAAATAAATTCAAGTTGAAATTTTCACTTATTTTAAGACCGAAATTGACCCATAATGTCCCAAGTCCTTAAGTATATGTCACTGATTAGGATAGAAAAACCTGCCGTATAGATTATAAGTGCAATGCAATTCGAATTCATGGTCAAGCAATTAAAATAAAACATCTACATCAGTTATTTAATATATCCACTCATACAAAATATTACTTTTTTTTCTCATCAGTTGATGTACTCCAATCAGTATTAAGGTTTATAAAAATATATATAAATGTTTAATTAATTACATTATAGTGTAACTATATCATCCAGACCTTGAGCATACATGTACATATTCTAATTTTATTTAGAGGTTGTGATTCAAAAGACAATCTAGGTGAATATTTGAAAGGTTGATAAAAGATAAAATAATGATACGGTAAATATGTATGGTTGTTTGTACATGTGTCTGTATGTGAAAGCATTACCTTTCCTCACAAAAATGTATATTACCTATCATTCTATTAAGAGTGTGATTAAATATTAAACTAGATTCATGGGACGTGTTTAAACCCAATATCTAGTCCAGATATCCTCCTCGTTGTATTCTGCATAAATGTGAAATAAATAAAATATTTGTTAAAAACTTACCCAGTGTGGGCAGGGGAGGTGTTAATGAAAACCTCATTGTTTACAGTAAACATGAACACAACACATACAGCATCAGCGGTCTAGTAAAATATAATAAACCGTTTAGCATCAGCGGTCTAGTAAAATATAATAAACCGCTTAGCATCAGCGGTCTAGTAAAATATAATAAACCGTTTAAGATATCTTAATCAAACATGAAGCATACCTGCATCACCCACAGAAGGTGTACAGTGCACTAGAACTAGAACTCGTGCTGCAAAGGGGTTGGCAATGTAATGAGAAAGACGTATTAATGAAATGCTATAAAAGAGGGAAAATATGGACCTGATGATATATGTTTAAGGTGTAACAGGAAAGAGAATAGTGTGTTTCTACTGGAGATCGAATCTGTGACTCCAAGCTTCTCAGTCTGCTGCTCTACCGATTGAGCTGAAGGAAAATTCCCACTAGCGTGAAAGCAAGTAGTATAGGCTACCATGGTTCTATATAAAGCTAAAACCTGCCACAGAAGTAAAAGGATGACAAATGAAACAAGGGAATTTTATCATTCTTTTGCATACTTCAGTTTACATTTGTAACCAAAAGTACAGAAAATGTGTTCATAAAAAATGCATTTCAATTTCATACTTAATTATAAATGTAAGTTAAAAGTTGATTGAATCAGTTCAGGAAATATATGTTTGATTCGAGGACTAAATTTAGTTTCTCCAGAATCGTAATAATGAAAGGTTTTTGCATCTGTTCATTGTTTATGTAGATTTGTCACAAATGTAAGCCTGTTATTTGATTAACTGGTTGAAAGTTTAGATTTTTAATTAACCATGATCATACTGTTTTGTGCCCTTTGTGAAATGATAAAACTGCCATCATTCAAGCATCAAAGAATTGTTTGCAGATAATAAACATTAGGAAAAAACTAGATTGCTGAAAACTATGTTTATGAAGAAGTCATTATAGGTTTGAAATTTACATAAAACAACATCCAACAAAAGGTTTTTTTGTAAAGTTGTTATTTTCATAATTTTTTAATTTTTACTTTCCATCAAATAATTTTGTGCATTTTTTTCTATTTTCTTTGCTGTAAAATAAACAATATTTACATGCATATAAGTGTCTATGTTTAATTATATGCATGCATTTTATGTCTGTTAATAAAGGTGTACATTTTATTTCCTTTGTAAAACAATCACGAATATTGATATTTTATGTATCTGTATACAGATGAAAATATTTATTTTTGTAATGGACCCGGTATTTACTAGCTGTGACGGAGGATGTGATGTTTACATGTTGTTTACGGTTGTCACACTATCAGCATCACTTAGTGTAAATAGGTGGTCCGTTGTGTCATTTTATTTATTGAGGTATACTTTTAGACTGTAGCGTTTACCGGCTGTCTGTATGTTAGTTTCATTTGTTATGTTTCAATTCGAGAATCTCTTGAGAGAACATTTTTGGTGAAATAACAATCACTTCAAATCTTTTTCTCCGTTTTCAAGGATAACATCACAAGCAAACAGAATTTTCAATGTGTTTATAACGGTTTTATAACGATTGAAAAGCATGTTTTTATTATTTATGATGGTGTCAAAGTTCTGTTTAAAGTTATTCCCCTGATACGCCGTCAATGTTTAAAGTTATTCTCCTGATACGCCGTCAATGTTTAAAGTTATTCTCCTGATACGCCGTCAATGTTTAAAGTTATTCTCCTGATACGCCGTCAATGTTTAAAGTTATTCTCCTGATACGCCGTCAATGTTTAAAGTTATTCTCCTGATACGCCGTCAATGTTTAAAGTTATTCTCCTGATACGCCGTCAATGTTTAAAGTTATTCTCCTGATACGCCGTCAATGTTTAAAGTTATTCTCCTGATACGCCGTCAATGTTTAAAGTTATTCTCCTGATACGCCGTCAATGTTTAAAGTTATTCTCCTGATACGCCGTCAATGTTTAAAGTTATTCTCCTGATACGCCGTCAATGTTTAAAGTTATTCTCCTGATACGCCGTCAATGTTTAAAGGTATTCTCCTGATACGCCGTCAATGTTTAAAGGAACTGCTTTTCAATTTTTCTTTCAAAACATCAACGAAAATGCTATTTAATGAGGAAGGTTTCTCTTGGCTCATCATACAATTCTTTTACTGAATGATGGGATTGACATGTTTGTTGGAACAAGGTGTTAATGTTTATTGTTTTCCTCAGGCGATAAAAACAATAGAAATTTATTGATTTTCCCCCTAAATGTTTTGTGCCCCCTTTATTAATAGCATTGTAGAAAGATCCCAAAAGTTTCTAATTGGAAACCATGCACCTGTAAAATTTCGATGATTTCATTTGGAGTTGATATGGTTTATTTAGAGACGATACACCAGAAATGTGAATGTTAAGTAAACAAGATAAAGGTCCACTATCGCTTGCATCTCACTTAAGTTAGCATTGAAGATGAGGGGGTTAAACGTTTTCAGTATGTTTTCCTAAAACCAGTGTAGATATGCTTTTTACTTATTAACGCAAATATGTCAGTTTTGTTTTCTTAATCAAGATAAATGGTCAAGCTCCTGATACCTGGTATTGTGTGGTCAGTAAAAGTAAGCTCGAGTATATGGTCGACTTTAGATTATATATTTCACTGTCTTTATGTCAAAATCATGTTTGATGGGATCCTTGTTGAACCAAAGTTTATCAGTATAACTAGGAAAAGCGTATGCAGTCTTCTTTGTTTCTTGTTTGTATTTTCAAACCAACTTTGACT